AACCCTTTTCTGCCTCATATCGGCACTAGGAAAATCCGCCAAACATTGCGCAAACAAACCACCCGGTCCGGACGGTATTCCACCCATTGTCCTCAAAATGTATGCTACCGAGCTGGCCCCTGTTTTACGTCATCTTTTCCGTCTTTCCCTCCAACTTTCTTCCTTTCCAACCCCCTGGAAACACGCCATGATTTCTCCCATTCCCAAACGCGGTGATCTTCCTAACCCCAACAACTATCGACCCATTTCCCTCACATCTGTTCTTTCGAAAGTATTTGAATCTATCATCTCTGACCAGCTACGCACGTTCCTTGAACGCGAAGGATTACTGGGCGACCGCCAATATAGCTTTTGACCGCGTCGCTCCATCGGTGACCTTCTGGCTCTCTCAATCCCGGTCAGCTCCACTCGATAACCACGGGGAACCACACTTGGTCTCGCTTGACATCTCAAAGGCCATCGACCGAGTTCGACACGAAGGTCTACTGGCGAAACTACCCATGTTCGGGTTCCCTCCAGCGCTCGTAGCGTGGATATCAAGTTTCCTCAGTAAGCGAACCATCTCCGTCCGAGTTGATGGGTTTCTATCCCAGCCATTCCCTGTGAACGCTGGTGTTCCCCAAGGTTTAGTACTTGCGCCCACCCTCTTCCTTCTCTTTATCAATAATCTCCTTTCCCAAACTACCAACCCGATCCATTCTTTTGCTGATGACGTCCAAAAGACTCCGAAACCGCATGGTTGGAGACATGGCTGCGAACCGACAGCAATGGCAATCATGCTGTCACTTCTTATCAGACCAGAATGCATGAAGTAGTATGTAGGGACAGCTGGACTGTTTACTCTGTGTTGACCATAGAGGTTCGCTTTCTTTTCCCGTCCCTAAGAATAGGTTCAATGCCTGTCCTCGTTACATATTCTCACTTATCTTGTATGCAATATGAGTTTGGCAGCGATCAGTGAAGTTCGCTTCACTGTATTACGCTGTACAATGATGATGATGATGATGATTTTGGAGACCATTTAGTGCATTCTTCAGTATTTCGTCTATAATGAAATTGAACAAGAATGGTGAAAGAGTACCCTTGACAAACACCCTCGCTGCTAGTTACGAACGACCTACTCAGCTCGCCGTAAACCCTTACGGCACCAGAAGTATGTGAGTAGAGTGAACTCAGTATGTTTACTTACTTCTGCGGCATTCCTTTGCCCACACCGACAGAAGGGTTTTTCTTTGGAAATTCTGACCGGAGCCTTCGACCCACAAGGCAGTGGGGCGTCAATCGAACGCAGGAGCATGATCGAAGCCTTCGTGTGGGAGCTTCTGGAGACACGTTATGCAGGGCCTTTGAGCTTCGGTTCAATGTATTGTTCGCTGGTGCGTTGATTGACGGCCCGTTTCTCGTGATCGGCCCTTAACCCCAATGAGACAGACGGAACGTGGACGGGACAGCACTGTTTTGGCTGGGAGATGCCCAGCTTGGACAGGCAGTAGCTATCCAGTGAAATGCGAAGACTTCTGCCATCATGAGGAAATCCTTAGGCACCATCTAGCGGGGTTTTATTGTCCAGTAAACTGCCCCTCACCGTGTTTATTTGCTGGAGCGCGGATAGTCAAAGAAAGCCAGGTGCTCAAGTGACTGGTCCCGTGAGACTGAGCTTCGTCTGGCTTCCGCCCACTGACATTTTAGGCATGATTGGGTCTGCGTTTGAGGAACCATCCTGTGTAACTCGCATGGTCATGGAGGCACGCAAGCCATCACACCACATCAATGTGCAGTCTCATCTTGCTGATGATCAACAAGTACAACTGTCCCGAGAGATTTAAGATGAATATTTCCCCCGGTCAAACACGACGGTGAAATGACACATGTAAAGCAAATCAGAACTTGTTTTTTTATCAATCAGGATAGTGGCCAAATGCAATTGA